TACACCAGGTTGCACAGGAAAGTGTCCAGGTGGGTTTGAACATCTCCAGAGATGGAGACTCCACACCCTCTCTGGGCAGCCTGTCCCAGGGCTCCGGCACCCTCACAGTGAAGAAGTTTTTCCTTCAGTTTGTCTGGAACTTCCGGTGTCCCAGTTTGTGTCCATTGCCCCTTGTCCTGTCACTGGCCACCACTGAGAAGAGCCCGGCCCCATCCATTGACCCCACATTTCAGATCTTTATAGACATTGATCAGATCCTCTCTCAATCTTCTCTTCTCCAAAGTCCCACCAAGTTCTTTTGAGGCATGGGGTTAAACCAAACCCACCTCCCTGATGCACATGCTGCCTCCCACTCTAATTCCCCTCCCAGTCCCTTCCCAGTTTAAGTGATACTGGGATCATCCCCTCTAAATAAAAACCCAACCCAAAACCAAAGGACACAGAAGACACCTCAGAGCTCGTGAGAAAACAGAAGAAACGCCGAGGCAGTTTATTTACAACCGTTGTGTACAAAAAAAGGACAGCTCGTGCCACAGCTAGAACAACCCCCTCCATCTCCTTCACCCATGTCCCCCTCCCCAGGGTGGTCCCTCCCACCCAGGGCTCTGGGGTCCTGGAGAACATCTCATGGTACATCAGGTAAAGAGATGTGGTTCCCTCTAAGATCTTCATCAGAGCTTAAAAAAACCTCATCTGGCCATAGTGGAGACCAAACCTTCTGTTAGCATCAGGGTTGGAAGCTGATGAGGTGTCAGGGTATTGTGGCACTGGGACCACTGGCAACTGGGAGAGGAGGGACCATCCCCACCTCCCTGGTGGAAAGGACTCTCCACCTTCTCCCACTGGGAAGGATTTCTCTGCTTCATCCACCTTCCCTGGAGGCAAAGATCACCCAGGGGATTGCACAGCAGCTCCCACAAAGCACCTCCTGGGCTGGTCATGAGCTGTTGGGAATGAGTCCCAAACTGGCCTTCCATGGTGTCACCAGGAGGTACCATCACCATCCCCAAGGGCTTCCTATGACCATTGTCTTCTCCTGCTCTCCAGAGAGGCATCTCCATCCCACCTCTGGCTCTCCAGCCTGGGCTCCCCCAGTTCCTCATTCCCTCTTGTTTTCCCTTGTCCTTTCCATCATGGTTTCCACAGCTTTCCCTGTTTTCTTCTCCTGCTTTCACTCTCCATGGAGGTGACCTCCTTTTTTCAACCACCACCTCTAAAAGCTGATGTCTTTCCAGCTTCTCTACAGCAGAAAAAAGGGATTTCATCCAAGAAATTCCCACAAAGATGATCCTCTGGAGGTTCTTACCAAAAAAAAAAGGGAACTCTTTGGGGAAGTCATGGAGCTTTTCAATTTCACCCTTGAAAAGGAACATCAACAGCTCCTACAGATGGATGAAGTCTTTGGAGCAAGCGAGTCTCACTCTCTGACCACCTCTGTGAGGAGATGTCTTCTCCTCCTTCCCCAAAATGGTTCTGTAAGGTCTACGGGCAAATAACACCCACTCTGGGCAAGAGGTGGGAAAAAGGGAGGGAGGGACATCAAGAGATGCTGCTGCTCATCAATGGGATGGGATAGGATGGAGAAGAAGGAAGCTGGAGAGATGCCCACCTGCCCAACCTGCCTGCCCAGCACCAAATTAAAGTCACACACGACGCACATTCCCCTCCCTCTTCCCTCCCCACCCTCTTCATCCCCCTCAGCTTTTACCCAGAGGGGTCACCTCCTCCACTTCTCCAGTCCTAGGCTGTCTCCTCTGGACCTGGTTTGATGGGCAGCTCATGAGACCCACCAAGGAGATTGGTATCTCAAAGCCAGCACC